GGGGGGGAGGGAAAAGCCCTCTTGCAGTAATAGTGTTATGAAGCACAAAGAAAATTATTGCCAGACCCCATAGTTTGTTAAACTCAACTGATACCTGATTTTGTAACATATATTTGTGTTCTGTGATGGTGAAAGCAGAGATTTTAGAAACGTGCCATTGTTAGAGGAGAGGAAGAGACCCTGCAACAGGGAACTGGTAGCAGCCTTGTCATGTAGGTGTGGTTCGGCAGTCCAGCTAGGACTTCATTTGTCTCTATTGTTGCTTTCTCAAGCATTGTTGCTTTAGCTGGCTGTTTCTGGTGATTATTTTTCACGGCTGTTTGTGGTAAAGGGCTGCCTCATCACAGCTAACCAGCTTCACCACGACCTGCTCATCTTTATTGCTACCATTGTCTCCTAGAGAGAACTACTGAGGCAGATGCTTTGTCATTCAGAGCCTCTTCAGCATTGCACTTTCCTAATTCTACCTAATTTTCCATTGTGTCACAAGTGAATTGGCTGCATTTTAATTAAATTATTAAAAATTATAGAGCAAATGGATAAAACTTATGCCCTCCAGGCAGCTGATGTCATCCTTCCTCTGAAGAAATGCTCTTAAGTCTCTTCTTGAAGCTTCTATTGTACAGTTGCTGCTGCATAGCTCTGTTGCTGCTACCTCCTGCCACTAAGCATAACACCCATTTACAGTTTTAAATGTTCAGAGGAAATGCTTAGGCCTTTTTATTCATCATTTTGGATTAGAAGTCACCTCGCTGCTCCTGGTGTCAAAAGATCTGATTGAGATTTTGCCTGCTAGGAAAAACCGTGATCAAATTTTGAGGTGCATTGTTCTGGATGAGTACACTGGGAGTCTGAAGCTCTATCTGCGTGAGGCAAATATGGGCTCGACTAATCTCTTTCTCTTTGGGAAGTGTGCTGTAGTCTGGAAAAACCTGCTGATTTCAACATTAATTTTCAACGGAGCCTTAAATGCATTTTGGGTTCTTGATAACTGTGCTTCAGTGTCTTGTCTGGTACATCTCCTGAGTACCATCACTGAAAAGTGTGGATTCATGCGCCAAACTGCAGAGCAACGTGTCAAAGAAAACATCTGCTGATAACACATCAGTGGTGTGATGCTACGTAACCTGGTGGAATGCAGAGTCATTTCTTAATATATCATGAAAAGGAAATGGCGTGGTGAGATGCATTTTCAGTAACTACGTTTGGGATGTGACTTTGCTAAGGGGACAATCCTCCAACCCACCATCCACCAACAAAAGAGGGCAGTGAAGAGAAAGCTTCAAGATTTTTCCACTGATTTGGCAGATGCCCTGCTGGGTGTGCCCTGCTTGCTCTCTGATTAGTCCTGTGTCTAGTGGCACTGTACTCCTGACTGCAGAAAGAAAGAAAGAAATAGCTCCAGTTCAGCCATGCTTCTAGTAGTTACGTTCAAGCTGTTAATGATCTACATCATTGGACTGACCTTAGATTTTAGTTCCAGATTTACCTCCGTTCTACCCAAACCTGCTTTGGTTATATAATGTATATAATACATTATGCTACTTTATAATGTACATGCGTAATTTTTGCATCCAGACTGCTGAGTCATGCAGCTGCAGATTTGGGATACTCTATCCAAATCCCAGCTTCAGCTTCTAGGACTACTGTGCATATGGGACATCTAGGCTTTTTTGTTGTCGTTTTAGCTATTTATTTTGTGTTGAGTCCTGTATTTTGGACATTACCTGGCTCATCAGTCTTGACTACACCTAGTCAGAATCTTAACCCTACAGCAAATTTGGATACATGACAAAAGCAGCTAGGGATGCTGGACAGGCCCTATCATCATCAGCACTGCTGAATCATAGTCCATATTGCTCAGCTGACCTCCACAAAAGCTTTGTAGTCTTCCTGCAGAAGCTTGCTGTCAGAGGCCAGTGAGCTGTTTATCTTCTAGCTTCTTCAAGTTCAGTGTTAATTCAATACACTTCAGCTTCATGATTGATTAGTTTACTATTCATAGTTTTTGTATGCACTGTATGTGCATGGTATTATCATCTTTACTTTCTTGCTCTCAAATATTCCAACACCTGGATAACATTAAAGCCTGCTGAGCTGTATTTGTCTGCCAGAACTATGCCCCAAGAATGTACCATATGGCCAAGAGATTTCTGAGAAATGAGAATAAGGATACGTGCAGAAAAGATTCACTGCTTATGCCTCTGAACAGCGATGTATCAGTCAGGAAGTGGAGGTGGCTGGTTATAGCTCAGCTGTTTTTCTCTTGAGTGGTTATGAAACAGGCAGTACTATATTCCCAAATCTTTTTAGAGTTTCAAATGGTAGCTACTTAATAGCTGGTAGCATAGCCCAGTAGTAAGCACGCACCTACCTGGACAGGGATGCTGAGAAGGAAAAGGCCTGGATGAATTGTCCCTGAAGAGGCTTCAGGCTCTTGAAATCCAGATGATTATATTTGCATGGAGAACCTACTCAGAGCTGCAATGGGAGATCGGCACTGCAGGTCTGATTTCTCTGCTCTTCCCCGTCTTTCTCCTCATCCTTCAGCCCCACAACATGGCTTCTGCCAGCACGAGTCCTTACACTTCTGCTGCTTTGAAAGAGAGTATAGCATGGGAGGTATTACTGACAGTAACATTCACAGCCTGAAACTCTGACAGTTACCAGCAAGGAGTGTTTAGTGTTAGTCTTACAGTGCGGGGTTGGCTACGCATGTCTTCAGGCATCTCCTTCCTTGCCAAGCCCCAGAGTAATTTAACTCAACGATTTCATGCAAAGGCACGGCCAAGCATGTGGGGAGGGGCCACCAGACACTTCCCTGCCTGCAGTCCCTTCTGTGTTTGCCAGCTAATTTGTGTAAGTCTAATAATGTTCCTTTAGGAAAAAAAAAAAATCACTGTAACAAAAATTGCATCAGTGCAACTTACCTGTAGTGCAACTGCCGGCTCATTGTTTTTCAAAAGGAGAAGATTTTTCAGGACAATTTCAAATCAAGAAAATTATAGAAAAATGTTAAGCATGTTCTCCTGTGAGGTTTTTTTGTTTGTTTGGAGGTTTTTTGGTTTGTTTTATTTTATTGAGTTTTTTTTTGGTTGGCTGTTTTTTATTTAGTCATCAAAATCTGATGGAAGGAAATCTGTCTTTTGGCTACAATGTTGGGTTTTTTTTGCCTGGTCAAATTTCAGTCCATAAAAATATTTTTTTGAATAATATATTTTTTATTCATATATCTGTCAATTGTCTCACTTTCTAAGTAGCTGGGGGCAAAAATGTTAGGGACAACAGATCTGCTATTTAGTTTTTAAAAGAAAAGACCAAGCATAGCATTTTTTGAACTCAAAAGCAGAATTTTGATACTTCATAAATAAAAGATCAATTTTAATTTACAATATGGGATACTTCAAAGCTTTTGAATAAGTCAGTAATTTAATACTTTGTATTTACATATTAATTTGCAACATGCTAGGTGATGCTGTCTTTTCTCAGATGGACAAATACAACAGTCCTGCAATGTGACTGAAGTGTCCTCTGAGTGATTCACTCTTTCAGTTTGGTAAATGTGGTTTAAACCCTGCTGCCAGTCAAACACCACACAGATGCTTCCTAACGATCCCCCACCCCAGGGAATAGGGAGGACAATTGGAGTCGTAAGGGTAAGGAGACTTGTAGGTTGAGATAAAAAAAAAAACTTAATAATTGAAATAAAATAAAAATAATAAAGATAATAGTAATAATAGAAAATACAAATAATGGTAATAATAGAAAATAAAAATGAAGGATACACAACATGATTGCTCACCACTTGCTAGCCATCCCAGAGAAGCCAAAATGCTGAAACTGCAATTCCAGAAGCGAGAGGGATCTTCCCAGTCAACTCTCATCCATATACTGAACATGCGGTTATATCATGTGGAATATTCTATTGGCCAATTTGGGTCCGTTGTTGTGGCTGTGCTCCCCCCCTGATTCTTGTGTACCTGTACATTAGCAGGATATGGGAATCTTGATTTCTTAGCAACAACTAAAATCATCAGCATATTATCAACATTTTTCTAATTCAAATCCCAAACTGAATCTAAAACACATCACTATTCTAGCTTCTAAGAGGGAAATACTAGCTTTATTCCAGCCAAAACCAGGACAGTAAATCAGTGTATTTCTATTTTTAAAGTCAATTCAGGGACATCAGTAACTTTTCATAATGTGGCTACTAGGATGTGGGACCAGCAGTCCTAAAGCAGGGGCTTTAAAGGATGGTCATCCTTTGGAAAGGCCACTGACTGATTCCTGTCCAGAGTGCTCCTTCCCAGCATTCAGCACTTTCCAAAAAATAGCTGTGTGCCTTGAAAGGAGGAGAGGCTGGGTTTGGAATTTAGAAATACACAAATAGCATGAATGCAAATTGAGAAATATTCAGTGACAACTTCCAGTGTTCATGTATCAAACTAGATGTGTTTTGTATTTTTAATTTTAGGAATCCGATCATGGGACACAAACTTGATTGAATGCAACTTGGATCAAGAACTGAAACTTTTTGTGTCTCGCCATTCAGCTCGATTCTCTCCTGAAGTTCGAGGTAAGTTTTGGGTGGTGTTTGACAGAGGTTGGTTTTGTTTGTTTTTTTTTAAGAGCAGAATTAATAAATACACTTTGGAATTGTATTCATTTATGATTGTTTACGATGAGTCATTTATTTCCGTTATTTTAAAATCTGGTTTGAAAATTATAATTTGTTTTAACTTTCTCACAGCTTAACTTGGAAATAATCAGCCTTCTAGTTACATTTATATCACCATGATTACTTTGGTAGTAGATGTTAGTTTTAGGGCCACACTAAAGTTAGGTAAAACTCAATTTTTGACTGTTTGTTTATGTAACACCAATTGAGTAGTCCCAGAGACTGAAGCTTATTGTGGTAGGTAGAGCACATACAAAACTAACCTGAAAAGTTAGCTCTACATTTTGATAGACTCAGAAATGGTGTCATGGTTGTTGTGCAAGTGTGGCTCAAGCCCCATGTTTCTTCCCAAAGAGCTTGAACTTTTCTCTTTCTTGGTATGAAAGCTGAGGGGTGGAGGGTTTACCTTGATTCACAGGAATGTTCTTTGGCTTGTATGAAGAAATCACAAATTTACAGCACTCATAAGACTAAATCTCTTTTCCTGCCTTTTCTTCAAGACTGTTATTCCTTTAGAGGATGCATACAACGAAGTAAAACAAAACAAAAAGTCCCATTTTGCAAAGACTGTAAAAATTGATTTTGTTCTGGCTGCATAGGAATCAAACGTTTGATAAGATTTCTAACATCTTGTTACTTTAACACAAATGCTGAGTGAGCATGTGTGAAATTAGTCATGGTTTTCATGTAAAAATACATAACCTTCTCAAAGGAGTAGAGGTTGCTTTCATTGGTGAAATCATGGTGGCCATGTACACATTGACTAGTACTGGCACCTAGTTCTGATGAGTGTTATAAATTCTAGCTTCAGGAACATCTCTTTAAGTGTGGTAAAAAAGGGCTATGAAATGTATCATGTTACTACATCACATTCCTAGAGTCAGTTGATATCACTGACAAAGAGATCCTGATGTCTTGCTAGCATTACAGTTTTGATATGATGGTTTCAAATAATATACAAAAATGTCTTATGTAACTATTTCTTCCTCTTACAGCATAGGTTATAGCAGATTTTGCCATATTTACCCATATATAGAGTAAAACATTGCGATAGTTAAGAAAAAAACAGAAACCTCTATGATTCTTCCTGGTGTGAAAACCAAGAGAACCAATACAATACTCAGTGTGAAGATTTTGAGTCAAGGCATGTACTTCCTGATTTACATAGAAGTAAACTCGGGCCTGGAATACATGTCTTTCATTTCAGTTTAAGTGTCATGAAGCCAGTTCAACTTCTCGATGGCACTAGTACCCTTGTTTTACAGAGAGGGAATTCTGATAAGTGAAATTATCACAATTTATCTTTAAGGAATGCAAGATGCTGTGCATCCCATTTTTAGCATGTATGTGTTTTACTTTAAAACTTTAGGGAGAAAAAAGATCTGGGGGTTCTCCTTTAGGAAAAATTTTCCAATGTGTCTCATATTTTTTGCTGTCTTGTTTAGATGATAAAACCTGATACCGTTGCATGAATTAAAATAAAGCAAATGCTCTGCTTTCATATGGTAAATAAGATTATGCACACCTTTTTTCAACAGAAAGATTATAGAATTCTCTAGGAATTTTTCTCTAGGAATTGTATTTTGGGTTGATTTTTTTTTTCTTGTTTGTGTAGACTTGCCTATTTAGTCTGTCATTGTGTTGAATTACAGCTTAATTGCATGGGACTGGAATTCATCAACATCTCTATGACAAGCAGTAATGAATGTGTTTTTCACCACTGCTCAATCTTTAAACAATAAACAACCAAACTCTATTTTGAAAGAGTGTTAAGGGAGCCTGAAACTTGGGTAAAGGGAACATACAGGAGTAAAGCTAGCACTTGACCAATTTCATGTCTAAGGTTTTGTGGGGAAGCCCTCTAGAATCCTGTTGCACAGGTCAGATGATAATTTATTTTAGTTTCTTTCTGTGGTTCTTGGATGAAGCTTCTTTGTATCCTTCTTACTGTTTCTTAGTTCATAAAATCTGTTCATAAAATTTCAGAATGTTTGATTTGTGTTACAACACTCAAATATTGGATTTTGAATGTTTTACCAGTGAAATGGTTAATGTTCATACTAAAGAGATTATTTTAAGTGCATATTCCTTTATGGTCCCTGACTCAGAAATTCTTCAGAATTTGGGTTACTAGGAGACATTTTGTCCAAGGAAAGTAGTCATACAAGGTGACAGGGTAGTCTGGGAGGTAATTAAACAGCCTTTTTTTTAGTCCTTAGGGACTGGACTCTGTGAGACTCATACGTGGGGACAGTTTGCTCTTGAGGAAGAGTAAAGTCATCTAGTGTGTCTGTACAGCTCCTTGTGTAGTCAGGTTTCACTGCTGACTGAAGCCTGTTTGATTATGATGTTTAATTATGGTAATTGCAGTGCTGTCTCAGTACATGCTTGTATGCTTTGCAAATCAGCTTGAGGATATGCACAGCAGCAATGTGAAGGGTAGGACTCTTTCTCCAGAAGAAAGCTTGTAGGAAATGGGGCCAACCCTGTCCCCATGCCATATGCCTGCGATGCTGAAGGAGATACATGTGAGAGAATATGTCTGTTAAAGCATAGATGTATCTTCACTCGAAGAATTAAAGGTCTAATCCTTCTCCTTGGGTAGTGAATAGCAGTCTACATGTTGATACTGCAGGGAGCGCAACTGGATCCCAATGCTCTTTTTGTTCTCTTTTCAAAGGAATGGATTGTGACAGTGGCATTTGTGCATCCTGTATTCATCTGCTGGGCAATTTATGGAAGATTTATGATTCCTAAAAAATAGGATTCAGAATGGAAATTACAGCAGATTTTTTTTTGATACCTTGTAGAGCAGATGAGTTATCAGACTCCTTAATAATACCAGATCTTGTGGAGATATTGTCAGGTGCTGGTGAAAAATGAGTTAACAGAGCTGGTTGCCAAGACAACAGGCAACATGACTTAAAATGGGTGCTCCACTACTTCCTTCTGTTTTCTCTGTCATGTACTGATAACTTCCATCTTATGTTAACATCACAAGGACAAAAAAATTCAAGCAATGAGTTGTAACATGTACATGCTGGAAAAGAGAATGTGTATCTGGTAGTTAGGCAGTGCAAGTGGAGAGTCTTGGAAAGAGATCTGTTGACATTGCAGCTATACAAACCAGTCTCTTCTTAATTAAAAAAAAAAAAAAAAAAAAAAAAAAAGGTTTCAGCTGCATTAAAGCAGCTTCACAAAAGACCAAATAAATGAGTTTTTGGGGTGCGGATGGGGAAGGGTGAAGCCATTGAGGGTCCTTCTGCAAGACTTCCACACCTACTGTTTTGTCCCTCAGCTTCCACCTGAGGACACTTGACTGTTGCATCGGTGCATATTCAAGCCCTTGTCTAGATGAAATGCATTTTATTTAAATAGCTGTTCAGTAGCTAGTCATCCATAACCTTCTAAGAAACACCGCTGAAGCAATCAATGCACTGTGGCTATGTTGTGCTTTGTCCTGTTGTTATGAAGAATTGTGTCTGTGGAAGACATGTTTACTATATGAGTGGTACCGGGAGGTCTCCTGTTGCCTAAATCAGCAGTTGGTGACTGCACTGGCTTCCTTATCTCTGCCCAAGCCTATTTTCACCAGCCTGCCTGTGGCCAGTGTTCCCTGGGCAGCCACCTGCATCATCATCATCAGTGGATTTACCTCCTTTAGGCTTCCTAAAGGAAGTCATTGTTCTTTGAAACTGTCATGACCCCAAAAAGCCTTGACAGATTTCATTCCAACAGTTACTGTTTCAAATGTTACTGTTTAGGACTGTTAGTATCCTGTGAAGAATTTTTGGATCTAGGAATTTTGGCCATCAACTCCCACTGCTCCGTACTTTGCCCAAGTGGTGCATGGTCCCATTGCCTTTGTCAAAGTGATCTAAAACCAGTTAAGATCACACATAGTGTCTCACAATGTGAGCTTGTGGAATTGCTGATAGAATCCTGAAGGGCATGGTTTTCATGCTCTCTTATTGAATTTCAGTTCATCAAAATTTGTTGAGAGGACACAGGTACTTGAACAAAACCTGTCACTTAAAATGAAAGAAAAAGACCCAAGAAATCAAGACCAGACTTCTCAACTGGTATGAAAGCACCATCACTAAGTGCCTAGGAATTAATTTCACTTACAATATCAAGTAACCTGATATGCACATTTAGAGACATCTTATAAATATGATTCTTCAGCTATTAGAGACTGCAATAGCTGGAATAGCTATCAAGTGGAGTCATTTTAGCTCATTCTGTGTTTGAGAGGTTAATTTTAGTTGGCTACCAGACTTGGTTTTTCTCTCAAAGTATTTGTGCCTTGAAAGAAAGAAAATGGAGGCAGAGTAGTACTTGAACAGGGAATTGAGCTGACTCATGCTGCTGCGGCTGTGAATGGTGTCTCTGCAGGGTGATGCTGCAGCGGTGGGGACCCCCAGTGTCCTCACTGGGGCAACTGGCTGGGGAGCACATGCAGCGCTCTCATCTACTCGCAAGCTTTCTTTGTGTAGGATGCTGGGATTTTGGTGGCTCAGGAGAGGATTACCGTGTAACAGGCTATATGTTTGGATACATGAATTGTCAAAGACTTCCTTTCTTAGTACTAACCAAAATCCCAGAGATGGGCTAATAAGTGATTTTATCTTTTTCTCATCTTTGAATAAACTGTTGCACTTATATGACAATCATTCTGACACTGAATTCCATTTCTACTTTTTTAGGAATGATCTCAAAGAAAATTATCATTAATTTACATTGCAGCCAAAACACCGGTATCTTCTGATGCTAAGCTTAGTGTGAATCAGCAAAATGAAAGTTTTTTTTTAAATGCCTTGTATCGCAAATACATACAATGAGTTCAGTGGTCTTAGAATAACACATATTTTATGGCAACAGGTTTTTGACCTGTGTAA